TTTTGCCATGAATGCTGAATATTAATCCCAATGTGTTGTGGTTTTTCTTATAGTTAGTCTGATGCATGTAGTCTGCTAATCATATAAAACTTCAAAGTTTTAAAAATAATTATTTTTGCCAATAATACCGTGTAGAAGGCAGCTTAATAATTAGCTATTAACTGCATAGCAAAGTATTTCTGTTAAACTGTCATCTGCTGCTTTTTTAATTTGTGTGTCTCTGTTACTGCTTGGTAATGAAAGATAAATAAGAGAGCTTCAACAGTTTGTTCTCAAATCAAATCTTAACTGCATGTCCTTTGACCTGCTCTCCAAAATATAAGCTATAATGTCTATTTTCACTCTCCCTCTCCCGACACTGTACTTTCCCCTTGACTCCTGCTATCTGTAGTTTCATCTTCTCCCTAAATCCCTTTTCATCTTTGCTTCTGTCTCTCCCAGCTATCATTCCTATCTGTAGGCTGTCTGTTGTAGAATTAATCAGTTAAGCTAATCAAAATGCTGAGATTAACATAAAGTTCCATCAATTCTATCTCCTGTTTTTATGAAGAAATAAACAGTTAAAAAATAACTGTAACATAATTGGTAATACGTTTACTTACAGAATCATAGAATCTTTTGAGTTGAAAAGGACCTTTAGAAGTCATCTACTCCAACTGTGATGAACAGGGACAGGCCCATTGAGGTGCTCAGAGCCCGGTCCAGCCTGACCTTGAGTTTCTCCATGGACGGGGCACCGCCACCTTTCTGGGCAACCTATGCCACTGCCTCACCACCCTTACAGTGAAAACCTTCTCCTTATGTCCAAACTGAGTCTCTCCTCTTTTAGTTTCCCCTTATCCTATCACCACAGACACTACTCAAGAGTCTGTCCCCCTCCTTTTTATAGCCCCCCTTTCTGTATCTACCAACGGGCTGCTCTCAGCTCTCCCCACAGCCTTCCCTTCCCCGTGCTGCACAGCCCAGCTCTCAGCCTGTCCTCGCAGGGAGGTGTTCCATCCCTCACATCGTTTTTGTGCCCTCCTCTGGATGCTCCAACAGCTCCGTGTCTCTCCTGTGCTGAGCACTCCCCATCTGGACGCAGCGCTCCAGGTGAGGTCTCACAGCACGGAGCAGAAGGGCAGATCCCCTCCTCGCCCTGCTGGCTGTGCTGCTTTGGATGCTCCCAGTGCACAGTGCTGGCTCATGCCCAGCTGCCATCCTCCAGTACTTCCAAGTCCTTTTCAACAGGGCTGTGCTCCATCCTTACATCTCCCAGCTTGTACAGATAGCAGAGGTTGCCACAACCCAGGTGCCTGACCTTGCACTTGGCTTTGTTGAACCTCATGTGATTCTCTTGGGCCCACTGCTCGGCCTGGCTGGGTCTCTCTGGGTGGCATCCTGTCTCTCGGGCCTGTTGGCTGCTCCACACAGCTTGGGGTCATCTGCAAACTGCTGAGGGTGCACTCGATCCCACTGCCAATATCACTGATGAAGATGTTATAGAGCACAATTTATTGCTATTTATAAACTTTTGAGGTTTAGTAATGAGAGAAACAACAGTTTCTAGATACTCACTATCTGAAGCTCTCTCTTGCAAGTTAAAATACAACTTACAAAAGTTAGAAAGTCAGCTTTGTGCTGTTAGGGCAAAGGTAGAGTCACAGAATCCTGATGTAGATTTTGCCATGACTTTATGCAAAAACCATGAGTTTAGCCTAGTAACATCAGAAAGCTCAATGAGAACACTGTGTCCCACATTCTATAGCATTTTTCTAATCCAGTATTAGACATTACAATGAGAACACGTTAGCTAATTATAAGTCATTACCTCCTCTTGATCAGGTAGACAGTAGTCAGAATCCCCTGGTGTCCAAAGCCACCATAACTCATCTAAACACAAAGCTCTGATTATCCTGCAAGATCTCAGTTGTACTTAGTTAAGGAAGGCTTGGGAAAGCATCTGGTATGACCTTGGGTAACATGGAACTCATTAACTTGAGTCACGGAGCATCCCAACTAAAGTATGTGGACTACTTGCAAGGCATTCATATCCACATGAAGCCAAATAAAATCATACTAAGATAGACTGGGTTCACTGTAAGAAAGAAACAGGGATGAAGCCTCTATGACATTCTCCAACATCTGTATGGTATGGTCACTGTACCATTTGTGTCCAAAAATATCACCATGAGACCAACTGCCCAAGCAAAAAAAAATGAAGTGTGTGTTGACAGTGCTAATAGTACTGATAGTACAGATATAGTACAGATCATCTTTTTTTTTTAACAAAACATTCTGAGATGAGGCTGTGAAGCCACCATTTTATTCAGGATGAGGTGCTCATCCAACTGGCTGTTCATGGAAATGAGAGACTGCCGTATGCCCCCTTCATTCCTGGTTATTTGTGTCTTCTCTTGTCCTAACATTATAATGTTAAATGTAATTTCTTTCATGTTTTTTCATCATCATCAGAGGTGGCAGATAGCAGGAATACAAAGCTGGAGGGACAGGAAGAACTTGGTGAGAGCAAGTGAGCAGAAACAGAAGTGAACAGTAAAGCTTTGAAGGTAACAAAGCACTGGAACAGGTTGCCCAGAGAGGTTGTGGAGTCTCCTCCTCTGGATATTCAAAACCCACATGGATGCTTTCCTTTGCAACCTACTGTAGGGAACCTTCTTCAGCAGGTTGGACTGACGATCTCCAGAGTTCCCTTCCAACCTTTGTGATTCTGTGACTGCAGGACTGTGTGAATGCTGTGTTAAAAATGGGCTGGAGATAGGTAGAGCAGTAAAAAGATAAGTAGCTTTTAACCAGAAAGGCAAATTATTGCCCTATGGGAACAAACTTTTCACAAGTATCTTGGAATTCTAATGTTCACATACCTGCCTATAACTGTCAGGTCTGCTGTGCTTACTGGAGGACATTTGAGAGAGGTGTGCTCTACAGTAAAGCCCAGCTGTTGTTTGTGGTCTCAATTCTGAATCTGAAAATTCCTGCCTCGGTGAGCTGGGTGAGTTACTTCCACTGATATTTAAGTTTCTACATCTGCAAGAAAAGAATACAATTCTGCTTCAGAGAGATGTTTAGAGGAATTCACAGATAATATTTGTAGAGTGCTTTGAGCTCAGAGTGCAGTAGATACAAAGATGGCATTTATGTTCCACATATCTCTACAGATAACCACTTATTTCTTCAAAGAGATAAAGTGACAACAGCCTAACAACCTAAGCAGGGAACATTACAAGCCACCCCACAGCCTGTTCTCTACCCCTGCCTGAGCTGAAATAGACTCCATCTCCTGGGAGTGATTCACATAAGGGAACACACAAGCAGCAGACAGTGTATGCACCCAGAGGTAAGGAGTCACATTTATGCTGCTAAGGTAATGCAAGTGTTTAATGTTCCTGCTTCATGAATATGATGCCCTTTTATTTATATGTGTCTTTGGCTTCCTTCAGGAGTAGTGGTTTGAATTGGTGATGTTCTTTAGTGATGTGTGCAGTCACCTGCCAGTGTCTTACATGAGCACTTACCTGAGCTACAGCCAGTGTCACTGGCTGATTCCTTTGCAAATGCAAATCCAAGTGCTTTCAATATTATCCCTAAAGCAACTGAATGGAGAACAAAAACCCACCAGCTTGAGATTAAGAAAAAAAAGAGACAGTGGAGGACCAAAGGAAAGTGACCTGCTGAAATTAGAGGAAAAGGAACATTAAGTGGAGAACAGTCTTCCCTGGGCCTGGGAGGTGGACTGAGCGACCCAGTATCTCTTTTCTATTTCCATCTCTCACAGTGAGCCTCAAAGCAGCAAAAAGAAAAGAGCTGCAGGATCCTTCCAGTGAGGTGTCAGAGAGAGCAAGGTGCAAGACGAGCAGTCAAGGAACCAATCTCCAAGCAGAGGCACACCAGCTCCCTAAGTGCCTGTGCACTGCTGCCGGCACACGGTCGGAGGCAGTGGGTGTCTGCCTGCAGCGCTGCCCCGCGCCCGCTGCTAGGCCACAACTCGGCAAGGCACCTGGGAGAGATGCTCACAGTTTGTCTTTCTCCAGCACGAGGGACAGCAGGGAGACTTTGCCGGATTTCATTCCAGGGGATGGCCTCATCCCCGGCTTTAGCGCTCTGCGGGTGGATGAATGCAATAGCCCTCCCCGCGGCGCTGAGCACCGGAGCGGGGTGAGGGCAACTCCGGCTCGGGGCGGGCAGCCCCGGGAGAGCTCCGTCCGCCCGACCGCCCCAGCCCCGCCGCCCCGCGGCGCCCCAGCCGTGCCCGGGCGGGACCCCGGCCGCCTCCCCTCCCCGCACCCTCGCCCCGCTCTTCTCTACGCGGCCCCGGCTCTCCGCCTCCTCCCCTCCCCTCAGGCAGCGCACGCCCCGCACTCACACTCACACACACGCACACACACACGCAGCGGCGATGCAGCTTTAAAGGGACAGCCGCAGCCCGCGGACCGGCCCTCGCGAGGCCGCGCAGCTCCTGCCGAGCGCAGCCCCGAGCGGTGCCGCCCCGAGCGGCCGGGAGACGGCGGGGGCTGGGCGGGCCGAGGGCTGCGCGCCCGCCTCCCGCCAAGTTTGATCGATCACCCCCTCCCGGGCCGGCTCCGCTCCC